AAAAAATGACGCTTTTACGCCTCGCGTTTTGCGCGATCGGTGTGCACACTCACATTGGCGCCCTTTGTTTAGTCACGAGGCGTTAAACGTCGGCGATAATTGCGCGTGATATTCGTCCCGGTGTGAACAAGCCTTAACGCTGCGTGTTTCTAAGCATTTCAGGGGACCTTTAAAAGTTTAAAATCCCGATGGGAAAAATACTTCAGCAACCAATGCCACTGAAAAAACATGAAGTCTGCCTTTCACTCAGTCTGCATTTGGCTTTGACTTTAAATGTATTGCTTCCTTGCAGGAGTTCGACAAAAAGTACAACCCCACCTGGCATTGCATCGTGGGGAGGAACTTCGGCAGCTACGTGACTCACGAGACCAAACATTTCATCTACTTCTACCTGGGTCAGGTGGCCATCCTGCTCTTCAAATCGGGCTGAGCGACGGCACCCATTCATTTCAACAGACCATTATGAACTGACTGTACTGACGAGGCGAACCATTCCTGCACTGGACCTGCCTTCTTTCTCTCGGCTGCTTCTCCTTTTGTTCTGATTATTGTTTAGAAAAAGCCCGTGTGAGCGGGAAATGCCATAAAGAAACACTTGTATTTATTTTTGTTTTCTATACATGGTTTGAGCGTTTTGTCACCTGCGTTTTTTTTTTAATTAAAGCAAAATGGTTTGGCTGTTCGCCTAGAGTTTCTTGTCTTCAGGATGTGAGAAGGTTGATGGTGCGGCGTATAAGGAGTCAGTGGTTCTCAAACTTTTTGACTTCTAAACCCTCCATTGCCCAAAACAATTTCCCATTTTTTTCAAAACTAGGAAACAGAAATAGTATTGAAGGAGGGAAAAGAAAAATATGTGATGATATATAAAATAAATGATGGTGTGTGTGTGTGTGTGAATATTAATAAATTTAAATTATTTAACAATTAAAACAAAGTAATATTTGATTATATGTATTTTTAGCTTTTTAATTAGTTAACATTTGAATTAAAATAATATTAATTTAATAAAAACAGAATTATTAATAATGTGAGTATTTTTAAACAATTAAAAATTATTACAATTACAATAATCTACCTTAAAATGCTAAATATACTAATATTAACACATTAAAATAATTTGATTATTATAACAATATTGGTTATATTAATAATAATATATATTCATTTGAATAATCCTCTACTAGTCATCCTTCATTACTTTCCTCAGCTTTGTACCTTTACAATTTGCTGAGGATTTCCTCAAGTCTGAAATCTGTTGTGCATCTTATTGAACATGAATAAAAAGATTAATACAAGCCAGGCATAGCACTGAGTTGTGAGGAAAAATGGGTTGCAAGAAATATTCAGCTGACTTGTGTATTCATATAATTATGCCATTTATATTAAGAATGATCACACCTGCACAACAGAATAGAGGTGTAAACACACTGCTCATTAAGCCTAAAAATACCCACCGAAGATGAGCTCAAAGCAGACCGATTTAGAATCAAAAGTGCCATTGCTTAAAACAATTGACCATTTATTTAAAGCTGTCTGCAGTGAGACATTTGCAAAGCTGTTTTTAGAAAGCACATAGATTTTTTTTTTTTAAGAAATCTTCAAGAGACATTTTAAACCGCTTTTTCACAAACTATAATGCAGAATGATTATTTGGTATGAGACAAATATCTGGGAAATAGCAATACAATTTAATTAATGCAAAATTAATTCACAGAATTGCCTGTTTAAATGCACTTAAACTTTGATATTCCACTATTTATGCATTTTAAAATGATCTTTTTGCATATGTTTTCACTTTTGAAAACATCCAACTTTATTGGTTAATTACATGTGACTTTTCGGCCAATAATCCAGGCCTTCATTAGACATAATGAAGTAACAGCAATACCAAACAATGCTTTACACATTCTTGCAATGTATTCTGTTTTCCCCTAATTTGTTTGGAAGCCACTCCCCTAATTGGCAGAGTAATACCTGTTGCTCATTGCAAGAATGTATAAAGCAATGTTTGGTACTGCTGTTCTTAATATCTGATGAAGACCTGGATATTGGCTGAAACATCACATGCATTTTAACCAAAACAAGTTGGATTGTTTCCAGAGTGAATGCTGGCTTTTTGATTTTTGGTTGCACCTCCGCTTTTGATGGTAAAGCACCTTTTTTCAGAAAAAAAGTGTTTCAACCATTTATTGATAGATTACTTTAGTTTTTTTTATTTTTTTATATATAATTACTCTTTATTGCCCATTCAAATATAAAATCATAAATTAGTAATTAGATTCATTTAACAAATTTCTTAATGCCTATGATTATGATTAAATCCTTTATTGCTTTTTTTTTTTTTACACCTCCATATGAAACAAAATAATGCAAGGAACATTGGGTTGACAGATTTTATTAGCATTTTAGAAAACCAGTTTGTGTGGATAGACTCCATTAGACAGGCAGAACGTGGAGCGCAGGTATCCTTTGAGCAGAGGAACCTTCTTGATCAGAGGAAGCAGCTGAGAATCCACCGCTTTCTGGTCAGTCTTACGCTGCTCTGTCAACTGGTACTTCTGCAGAACCACACAACAAAAACAATCAGGCTCTCGACTCAAACTCTCCACACAGAGTCCTGCTAAAGCAACCGATGAACCGGAACTGATCGAATGCTGGAAATCCTGTCTCACCTCCTTCTCTGTGTCAAATATCTCTCCCTCCTGGTGCTTGGGTCTCCTCAGCTTCTTCTTCTTGAAGTAGGTGTCAGTCAGCGTTTTGGGGATCTTCATGCCAGAGATGTCCACTTTGGTGGTTGTGGCGATGCAGAACTTCTGGTGAGCTCTCCGCAGAGGCACTCGGTTCAGAGCCAGAGGACCTGAGAGAGACAAGAGATGGTGTTCAATTATTCACTGCAACAAAACCCCTCCATCGCTTCAGCATCAGACGGCGATCACGTACCAGTGACGAGGAGAAGACCGGTGCCCAGCTGCTTGAGGAAGACCACGCGCTGCAGAAGGAAACACATTCACCGTTAGTCCTCACATGAACCTCTGCTGCACTTCAAACATCAAGCGCAGCTTAACCCATCTGAGCAGAATAGAGTTCAGATGAGTGTTTGTGTGGGAGGAGAGCATGTAGGAGTTTCATTCATTGAGTCGGTGTTGATGTATGCAAGCCGCTTCAAACAGCGCATTACTGTTTCATCTCAAAGAGCCACAAAATCACTTTCACAGACTTTTACATTAAAGGGGTCATATGATGCGATTTCAAGTTTTCCTTTCTCTTTGGAGTGTTACAAGCTGATTGTGCATAGATAAGATCCCTGAAGTTGCAAAGACTAAAGTCTCAAAACCAAAGAGATATTCTTTATCAAAGTTAAGACTCTGCCACGCCCCCCTAAAACGGCTCGTTCTAACACGCCCCCACATATCTACCCCACTCAGGATCAGGACGGTCCCGGGGCTGATGGACTTGCGCAGTTTCCTGCGGTGCTGAGAGAAGGGCTTGACGCCGTGACTCCGCAGCTTACGGGACACGTCCTCTGTGGGGTAGTAACGGGGCTGGACACAAAACACCACAAACACAGACGGCAACGTGACAATGATGAATGCAATTAAACTTAAGAAAATATAATCCAGTTTGAACTCCTTTGAATTCAGTTGAAGTTATTATAACTCCTTAATTCTTTATACCTTCTTGCATCACATTTTTCAATATTCATTAGAAGTTTTATTTGACCAGCATTATGACATTTATACCATATATTCTGAAAATTTCCAGTATCAACTCCTTTGAAATCAATGGATGGATTCAACTTAAATCCTTATTAATTTTTTTTAATTATTCATTATTTGCTTTTTCAATGTTATGAGCACTAACAATATCAAATCCTTTGAAATCAATGGATTTAAATTCCTTTTTTAGATTTTTTTATTATTTATTATTTATAACTTGACTTATGGATGCACACAAAAACAATTATGAAACCTACATATTCAATTTCTAACAAAACATTGTAAATATTACTCTTTTTTTTTAAAAAATCACTTGCATAATTTTCCTATTCTGCAATGGTTCATCAACAGACATGCATGTTTATGTTTATTAACAAAATTCAAGTCTCAAAAGTGTGAGAGATAAGGGAAAGAATATATAAGGCTAAAGACATCTCACAAAAGTATTTTAAAACGAATTTACCTCATAGATCAAAGAAAATCTGCATTAAATCAAATGTAAAGTTAAAACCAGGGTCGAAACGGACAAACGCAAAAGAGACGTTCATGGTTCTACATTTCTGCTCCCAAACAAATCTCAGTGATTTGGTCATAACTGTCTTTTGCTCACCAGTTTGCGCAGTTTGACCACACGAGTGCCTCCATTTTTGTCTCCGCCGACAGTTTTGGTGGCTGTGGAGGGAGCCTTTTCCTTAATTTTCTTTTCAACCTGCAACATCAAGACAAAGTGTCAGAAAACACCTGGTTTGAGGCGAGATCTGTGATCCTGCAGTGAACACACAAACGCTGACCTTCGTCACGGGAGCTTTAGTCTTCCTCTTGTACATGGCCCGGCGAGCATACATGGCCGAGCGGGAATAGCGGCCGATGCCCCGGACCAGGACAGGGTTACGGCTGCCATGCTTATGGGCCTTCTTCTTATCGCCCTCAGCCATCTGAGAGAAAACACAGGAATTATTAAAACATGCATGCACACAAAAATACATGCATCACTCCAGTTGAGCTTTTCTGAAAACAGGTCCATTATGAAAAGTACTGTACAAATGAATAAATGAGACTTGACATCTCAACAGTGCTTTTCAACAACACAACTATTCTACTAATTATACTCAAATCAATGAGAAGCCTTTAATTAGACAGTAATTTACATTAAAAATATCTGAACTGTTGCATATAGTGACTGTTAATCGTGCAACACTTAAATGAACATACATACACATACATACATACATACATACATACATACACACACACACACATACATACATACATACATACATATACACACACATACATACATATATATATATATATATATATATATAAAACATTATATGACTCTTCAGCATGGGGCTGCAGTAACTCAACGTGACCTGATGTAGCATTGCTAACAGGCTAAAGGACATACATAAACACCTATATAGATTGACAAAACATCATTATGTAACCTATTCGACACTATATACATATGACTACCCGCCTCGTACTACTTTACGATCTTTAATGTGAATATAAAGACAGAAATCCCGCATCGGTTCACACAGACCCGGTGTCAGGCCTCGGCGCGCACCGAACACTCATAACGTACGTAAAACACACACTACATACACAAATATTCAGTTACTAACGCTATAGGTATCTTGAAACATTCATATATGATCCAGAGTGAGATTTTAAGATCAGATGAAACCGATTAACTCAGATTGTGTTTGGAGAAAACAGACACGAAAGCTACAATTACCTTGAGCTAGAAAAAAAAGACCGACATCCGGGCATTTGACGTATATATAGTCGTGACGTATGACGCTCGGGGTTCGTCTTCCGTCATGTTTTCGTCTTAAAGGCGCAGGCGCTTCTACTGCCGCACGATGGAGTCAAGAGCGCCGATCATTGGGCGAGGAATGGAAATACTCCTTTGAAATATTCTTGTCAACTTATTTTATGAAATTGGAGCTCAATTTGTATGTTGTAGAAAATAAATTGGAGCAATAAATTTGATTTAGAAACGAAAGGTCAGACTGCAATCATACAGTAGAGTAGTTCATTTGATTATTTTACTGCTGTCAATGCATGCAGTTTTGTAATGTATATGCATGTACTATATATACATATATACATATTATATATATATATATATATATATACACACATTTTAGGGCGGTCAAAAGTTTGGAATAATTACGATTTTAAAATGTTTTTAAAAGTCTCTTCTGCTCATCAAGGCTGCATTTATTTGATCAAAAATGCATTAAAAGTTGTAAAATAATATTATAAATTAAAATAACCGTTTTCTATGTGAATAGATTTTCAAATGTAATTTATTTCTGTGCTCAAACCCAAGTTTTCAGCATCATTACTCCAGTCTTCAGTGTCACATGATTCTTCAGAAATCATCATATATTAGTATATATGCACACTCTACATACATACGCACATTTTATTAACACTTTTAATCCCAGATACAATATTTAACACTTGTAATTTAGATGTTATTTATATGCAGCTGCATGTGAAACATGCAACAAGATAACCCTGGATTAATTTAAAAGGGGTCATATGATGCTGCTAAAAAGAACATTATTTTGTGTATTTGGTGTAATGAAATGTGTTTATGCGGTTTAAAGTTCAAAAAACACATTATTTTCCACATACTGTACATTATTGTTTCTCCTCTATGCCCCGCCTTTCTGAAACGCGTCGATTTTTACAAAGCTCATCGATCTGAAAAAGCGAGGTGTGCTTGATTAGCCAGCTATCCAGTGCGTTGTGATTGGCCAAATACCTCAAGCGTAACTTTTATAAAGAATATCTCTTTGGATTTGAGACTTTAGCCTTTGCAACTTTACAGATCTTCTTTATGCACCAAGAGCTTGTAACACTCCAAAGAGAAAGGAAAAATTGAAATCGCATCATATGACCCCTTTAAACAGAATCTGAAGACTGATTTAGAATCAGAAGACTAAAGGTTATTCTTAGTCATTTATTTAAAGAATCATGGTCAGAATCCAGCTTTGTTATTGCAGTATGTAGAACTCTACCTTTATATGAATACATCTGCAGGCCAAGAGAGAGAGAATGCCGTATTTTACAGCTCATTCTTTATTGATGAGAACAGTCAGAGCTCAGGTGAGTGAATCTGACAAGAATTCACTCCCCAACAATTTATCAACATTATACAAAACCATTTTCAAGTCCACAATCAAGAGTTTTAGTGACATGGTGCTGAATCACAATAAAATATATTACATTTCTGGGAAACAGCTTATGTTAGATCAGGCACAGTGACAAAAATAAGGCACGTTACAGCATCACTGTCCCGTAACCAAACATATGTGGGGAAGCCAATCATATGATTTTAAAGGAACAATCATCATGTGCAAAATAAACCGTTATTACTCCACATTTGTGGACGGACACTTTTGCTTCAGACTTCGGGACGGTGTGAATTAGGTTTTGAATTTGACTTGATTTGTTCGCAGTGAGTCTCCTCAACATGTGTGTGTTAGTTTCTCTCAGTTTGTGTTTTCCAGGACGACGGCGATGCCCTGACCTCCACCGATGCAGGCAGAGCCGACTGCGTACTTCCCACCGCGTCTCCTGCGAACAGAGAACAGAGTGACTTCATGCAATATAAATACAGCAGTGCATGATCGGGATTATGCATCCTAAAAATAAGTCAACACAAAACACAGGGCTGCCCCCTGATAGCTGACCAAATGTTAGTCGATGAGAAGCAGCACATTTTAATTGGTTGGTCACAGAAAAAAAAATCTCCACAGGAAGTTACAGTACAGATTGTTTATTTATTTATTTTTACAATTTCATGTTTGTTTTATGAAAAGGCTGTTATTTATACAATAGGTTATTTATTGTATTTGCATTCAGATCTCAGAAAAAAACTGAATTCATGCATGTTTTTTTGGCACTGATATTTCTCATATATTAATTAGTTTAATTTCTAGTTATGCCCTATATTTAAAAAAAGAAAACTAAATATTTTAATATTATATTCTATTTTTCAATAAATATATATTTATTGAGAAAAGGCTGTTTTTATTTATAGACATTTATATCTATATTTATAGATTTTACTTATATATATTTATCTAGTTTATGTTTTGATATCAGAAAAAAATGCATGAGTTTACATGCGATGCTTTTGCACTAATATTTCTCAGTTTGCTATACATTTATTTATTCATTAATTTATAACTTTTAACATTTTATTTCCTACATTTTAAAAATAAACAGACACTTTTTTTTTTTTTAAGTTTACTTTTATACCAAAAGGTGTTTTATTTATATTTAAAAAAAAAGTTATTGTGTTGGTGTTACATTTTCTAGAAAAAATTATAATAAAGTAAAAAAAGAAAAAAAAATCCAAACACAAACCTATTCTTACATCAAAAACAGAATGTACCCCTTGTTTCTTTGTTTTATTTATTTCCGCCCCCCCCTTTTTCCTGTGTTTATTTAATACTGTATGAATATTTTCTAGAAAAATGAATAAAAATGAAGTAAAAGAAAAGGAAAAATTACGAACACAAAGACTTCCTTCTTCATAATGAAATGCATTAATGAATGATGCACCTGTGCATTAGAAAAGTCATTTCATGTTAACATTGAAGAGCGGTCTTTACCTGAGCTCATGTACGAGGTGTGCAGTGATTCTCGTCCCAGAGGCCCCGAGAGGGTGTCCAATGGCGATGGCCCCTCCATTCACGTTGGTCTTTGCAGGGTCCAAGCCCAAAGCTTTAGCCACAGCCAGATACTGAGCAGCGAACGCTTCATTGACCTGACAGATACATGAAACTCTGGATCAAACCTGCTCCAGCATCTCTGGAAACGTCACCACCTAAATGCATGCATAGTGTCATACAAAATAATAGAAACCCAGAGTATGTTATTATAATCTACCTCCACCAGATCCATGTCTTTGAGTGAAAGACCAGCCTTCTTCAGAGCTTCTGTGATGGCAGGTACAGGCCCTGTCGCATTTACAAAACATTATGAATGATTTGATGTATTATTCTTTTACACGTAGTGGGGAAAGTATGTTGGTGGACAGAGCACTCACCAATGCCCATGATGCTGGGATCACAGCCTGAGGTGTGATAGGCCACGATTCTAGCCAATGGGGTGAGTTTGTGAGCCTTCAGTGCGTCCTCACTGGCTATGACCACAACAGCGGCACCATCAGACACGCCCTGTGGGAGGAGCCAAAAACATAATACAAAAACATGCAAATACACACTGCAAAAATGACTACAGTGGCACTGCTAAGTAACATAATATGTTTATATAAATAATAAATTATATATTATAAATTATATACCAAAATAAAGTTTTTTTTACACATACATACATATAAATATATATATAATAATTTATAATCTAAAAATAAATATATAATAATAATATAATGTGTTTGTGCGTGTAAATAAATAAATATATATACATATAGTTTAAGATAATTCTGTATATTATTACCTATATATTTGTTATATATTTTGCATATATATAACAAATATTATAATAACTTATTAGATATATATACACACACATACACATACACAATACTACAATCTAAATATAATAAT